CCATTCAAACCGATGCCATTGCGTGTGCATACCTTAATGGATGGGAACTCCATGACGTCGTCATTGGCGGTGGAGTAATCTGCAATGTCATTTATAATTGTGCTCTCTGCTCTAGAGCGAATGCTTAATCGCGGACTTTCGTGGCGGGTCGTGCTAGCTGAATCTGTAATGGGTGAGGGTGGAGGCACTCCATACGGGTTGTGCCGCCATGACGCGGACGACAGGACGCATTCCGTCGGGGAGGTGGAATGATTCATCGATGCCCCCTCCGCGGTGGTACGCCGTGTCCGGTGCACATTCTGCGCCACCGCCGCCGCCGCCGGCACGCTCTTGCCGAGTTCTCGAACGTCACTTACGCTGCTGGTTTGCCGGGTTAAGGACTTCGCCCCGATCCCCGGCGACTTGAGGCCCGCCGAGTCCACATGCTTCTCCAAGGCGGCCTTTTGACGGCTCAAAAAGGACTTCGATGCGAGCCGGGAGTTCCCCGCTGAACCCACCAACTCTGCCACTCTTGCGGGGGGTGTTGGCGCCGAGGCCGCCGCCGCCTGCCCCTCCTCGCCCTCTCCTTTTGGTGACACCTTCTGTGTCCTGGCCGCCCTCATCACCGCGCCTGAAGACATCTCTCCCCTGCCGCCACCCCCAACCCGACCCGTCCGACGCACACACACAGACACACACAGACAGACAGACAGACAGACTGAGAGACTGGCAGACTGAATGGCAAGAAGCTCCACTGACGTGCCGAATTCTCAAAGCTCAACTCAACTCAAACAAAAACAAACGTTGAAAAAGTCGCGACTGTAAAAGCCCCGCGTACTTCCAACTGTCCGTCAGTAGCAACACTCCTCCGTTCCACACACAAACAAACAAGAAAAAAAAAAAGAAAAAAAAGAGCCCAAGCAAAACCACACACAAGAGAAAGAAAGAAAGAGAAGCGCAGAATAAAAATAAAATAAAATAAATATGTTTTTTATTTTATTTTTATTTTTATAGCGTCTGCTTGTGTGTGTATATGTGCTTGTGTTTATGTAATGTATACGGGTGATGTATTCAAATGTATCACTAAATATTGCAGACAATCCCAATTAGATGCCTATTTGTTGATGTTGGTGTTGTGTGTGTGTGTGTGTATCACAATCTTTTTTTTTTTTTTTCCCCTGATAAGTATATGTCTTTATTTTTCTTTTTTTTTTTTTATTTCTTCTTCTTCTTTGTGTATGTGTGTTCTTCTTTTTGTTGTATATATATTTATATATACAAATAAATATAAATTATATATTATATGTAATACAGATAAAGTGTATGTATAGTCTTTTTCTTTCCCCCACCCCACCCCTCTCCAAATCTGCTGGATGCAGTTGCTGCTCCGGCCACTTCTCCCTCTTTTCTATTATTTT